CTGTTCTAGTTCTGTCTAGTTCTGTCTAGTTCTGTTCTAGTTCTGTTCTAGTTCTGTTCTAGTTCTGTTCAAGTTCTGTTCTAGTTCTGTTCTAGTTCTGTTCTAGTTTTCTTCTAGTTCTGTTCTAGTTCTGTTCTGTTCTAGTTCTGTTCTAGTTCTGTTATAGTTCTGTTCTAGTTCTGTTCTAGATCTGTTCTAGTTCTGTTTTAGTTCTGTTCTAGTTCTGCTCTAGTTCTGCTCTAGTTCGGTTCTAGTTTTGTTCTAGTTCTGTTCTGTTCTAGTTCTGTTCTAGTTTGTTCTAGTTCTGTTCTAGTTCTGTTCTAGTTCTGTTCTAGTTCTGTTCTAGTTCAGTTCTAGTTCAGTTCTAGTTCTATTCTAGTTCTGTTCTAGTTCTGCTCTAGTTCTGTTCTAGTTCTGCTCTAGTTCTGCTCTAGTTCGGTTCTAGTTTTGTTCTAGTTCTGTTCTGTTCTAGTTTGTTCTAGTTCTGTTCTAATTCTGTTCTAGTTCTGTTCTAGTTTGTTCTAGTTCTGTTCTAGTTCTGTTCTAGTTCTGTTCTAGTTCTGTTCTAGTTCTGTTCTAGTTCTGTTCTAGTTCAGTTCTAGTTCAGTTCTAGTTCTATTCTAGTTCTGTTCTAGTTCTAGTTTAGTTCAGTTCTAGTTCTGTTCTAGTTCTGTTCTAGTTCTGTTCTAGTTTTGTTCTAGTTCTGTTCTAGTTCTGTTCTAGTTCTGTTCTAGTTCTGTTCTAGTTCTGTTCTAGTTCTGTTCTAGTTCTGTTCTAGTTCTGTTCTAGTTCTGTTCTTGTTATGTTCTAGTTCTGTTCTAGTTCTATTCTAGTTCTGTTCTAGTTCTGTTCTAGTTCTGTTCTAGTTATGTTCTAGTTCTGTTCTAGTTCTGATCTAGTTCTGTTCTAGTTCTGTTCCAGTTTGTTCTAGTTTGTTCTAGTTTGTTCTAGTTCTGTTCTCGTTCTGTTCTAGTTCTGTTCTAGTTCTGTTCTACGTCTATTCTAGTTCTGTTCTAATTCAGTTCCATTTCAGGTCTAGTTTACTTCAATTATAGTAAAATGTTTACTTTAATTTTCAAGCTTTTACATACTTCTATTTTTCCATTAACACTTGGTCTTTATGACATATATCATTCCTCCATATTATCCCATTACCCCACTCCCTAAGTTCTCAGCTTGCCATCCACCTTTTCAATTATTAACACAATTCTCTATGATGAGAATGCTGATGATTGTCAGTCACTTTTGTGTTGTTGTGTTTTTTTGTTTTTACTTCTCTACTTTTTGTACTCAATATATTTAGAATAGATATTGATGATGATGAGATACAGATACATTTATACTGGTATTGACACAGTACAAACAATAATCATCAGGGGCAAATATAAACAAAATTAAATACACACTCGATAAGCAAACAAATAAATATACACAAAGACAAACATGCATAATTGTAATAAATTTGTAACATTTTAATTGAAAATGAATTGAGTTTGATATGTGAAAAGTATGACTAAACTAAATAATAATAATATATTCAATCCAAACCCCGCTGTCACTACAATAACATTTTACTAAACACAATAATATATTGAACATAAATAAGGAAAATTTGAAACACAAACAAAAATGGGTGGCTTATAATAATTATTAAAAGGACCGGGGGCGGAAATAAATGGAAAATTTTTTTTAAACAGCAAAATGTAGATATATTTATGTTAAATTAAATACAGCTACATAAACTAAATTAACTGCGAAAAGGCTGTAAGTTTCGGAAAAAGGATACGGAAGTAATAATTAGATTTGTTGCCAAAAAAAAAAGGATAACAGATATTTTTGCACACAAAAATCTAAAATTTCACAGAAACCCCACCTTTTTAGTAAGGTTTTAAAGTATAAAAATACAGATAAAATTTGTATCTATAGGGTTAGTCTCTATATATATTTTTCAATATTTTTCTCTTTTTCCTGTATTTTTTTTAATTCCTTTCTTATACCTTTATTTTGCTTTGGTAGAAATGTATATAAACCTCGTTATCCTTTTATAATGTTGTTTTACATTTTAAATTAAAGTTGTCATCATTAGTTGTTTGTAGCTGTTGCTGATGTTCACTGTTTCTGTTTGATGTCGTCTGCAAATTTCTTTCAAGTACCCTATTCTAAGGAAAACGGAAACTAAACCAACATAAAGGTTTTAAACACTCTAAAATCATTAGCCGAAATATTTACTTAAATCATTCCTAAAAACTCCTTAGTTCAAGATAAATTACAGTTCAGTTCTAGTTCAGTAATAATTCAGTTTTAGTTCATTTCTAATTCAGCTCTAGTTCAGTTCTAGTTCAGTTCTAGTTCAGTTTTAGTTCAGTTCTAGTTCAGTTCTAGTTCAGTTCTAGTTCAGTTCTAATTCAGTTCTAGTTCAGTTCTAGTTCAGTTCTACTTCAATTTTAGTTCAGTTCTAGTTCAGTTCTAGTTCAATTTTAGTTCAGTTCTAGTTCAGTTCTAGTTCAGTTCTAGTTCAGTTCTAGTTCAGTTCTAGTTCAGTCTAGTTCTAGTTCAGTTCTAGTTCAGTTCTAGTTCAGTTCTAGTTCAGTTCTAGTTCAGTTCTAGTTCAGTTCTAGTTCAGTTCTAGTTCAGTTCTAGTTCAGTTCTAGTTCAGTTTCTAGTTCAGTTCTAGTTCAGTTCTAGTTCAGTTCTAGTTCAGTTCTAGTTCAGTTCTAGTTCAGTTCTAGTTCAGTTCTAGTTCAGTTCTAGTTCAGTTCTAGTTCAGTTCTAGTTCAGTTCTAGTTCAGTTCTAGTTCAGTTCTGGTTCAGTTCTGGTTCAGTTCTAGTTCTAGTTCAGTTCTAGTTCAGTTCTAGTTCAGTTCTAGTTCAGTTCTAGTTCAGTTCTAGTTCAGTTCTAGTTCAGTTCTAGTTCAGTTCTAGTTCAGTTCTAGTTCAGTTCTAGTTCAGTTCTAGTTCAGTTCTAGTTCAGTTCTAGTTCAGTTCTAGTTCAGTTCTAGTTCAGTTCTAGTTCAGTTCTAGTTCAGTTCTAGTTCAGTTCAGTTCTAGTTCAGTTCTAGTTCAGTTCTAGTTCAGTTCTAGTTCAGTTCTAGTTCAGTTCAGTTCTAGTTCAGTTCTAGTTCAGTTCTAGTTCAGTTCTAGTTCTAGTTCAGTTCTAGTTCAGTTCAGTTCAGTTCTAGTTCTAGTTCAGTTCTAGTTCAGTTCTAGTTCAGTTCTAGTTCAGTTCTAGTTTAGTTCTAGTTTAGTTCTAGTTCAGTTCTAGTTCATTCTAGTTTAGTTCAGTTCTAGTTAAGTTCTAGTTCAGTTTTGGTTTAGTAAGTTATATCTTTATCCTTATAAGGCCTCTTAAAGTCGTTGTTATTAAACTTTAAACTCCCAGGGTTTTCAACCTCTTTTTTCTATATCGTACTAAAACTCCTGATGTCAATTGTTGATTTTTTTCGCTTTGTCTCCACTCGTAGCTTTTCTCCTTTAAATAATCATCCTTGCAACAACATACTTTGTAGTTTTACCATATTAATACAGTTTTTTGCATTGTAGTTCTTGGTTTTTTTTTTGCTCATCTATCCGACTACGTAATCTTTGTGTTATGTCTTTGTTTACTTTATAATGTTTGGTTAAGTTTCCTGTATCCAGTCCCTCGAGACATCATTACTAGGTGGGTGTACACGTAAACCGTGTAACCTTAACGAACGAAATCGATTATGGTAATAAAATATTTTTCATTTTTCTTGCAGTTTTTTTTCTATTACTGTGGATGTCACAGTCAGAACAATGCTAATAGAAATCATAATGTTAGATGTATACATATATAAAGAATAGGAAAAAGGTGTAATTGAAAGTAAAGAAGGAAAAGGAAGGAAAACTAACTGAAACAAAAAGACCGAGTTTTATAAATAAAACTATTTAAAGACCTTAAATTTTTACTAAAATATAATAATTCAATTCTAAATCAATTCAGTTTTAGCTCAGTTATAGTTCAATTTTAGTTCAGTTCTATTTCAGATTTTGTTCAGTACTTGTTCAGTTTTAGTTCAGTTCTAGTTTAGTTCAGTTCTAGTTCAGTTCTAGTTCTAGTTCTAGTTCAGTTCTAGTTCAGTTCTAGTTCAGTTCTAGTTCAGTTCTAGTTCAGTTCTAATTCAGTTCTAGTTCAGTTCTAGTTCAGTTCTAGTTCAGTTCTAGTTCAGTTCTAGTTCAGTTCTAGTTCAGTTCTAGTTCAGTTCTAGTTCAGTTCTAGTTCAGTTCTAATTCAGTTCTAGTTCTGTTCTAGTTCAGTTCTAGTTCTATTTCTGTTCTAGTTTAGTTCTAGTTCAGTTCTAGTTCAGTTCTAGTTCAGTTCTAGTTCAGTTCTAGTTCAGTACTAGTTCAGTTCTAGTTCAGTTCTAGTTCAGTTCTAGTTCAGTTCTAGTTCAGTTCCAGTTCAGTTCTAGTTCAGTTCTAGTTCAGTTCTAGTTCAGTTCTAGTTCAGTTCTAGTTCAGTTCTAGTTCAGTTCTAGTTCAGTTCTAGTTAAGTTCTAGTTCAGTTCTAGTTCCAATCTAGTTCAGTTCTAGTTCAGTTCTAGTTCAATTCTAGTTCAGTTCTAGTTCAATTCTAGTTCCGTTCTAGTTCAGTTCTAGTTCAATTCTAGGTTAGTTTTAGTTCAGTTCTACTTCAGTTTCTAATTCAGTTTTAGTTCAGTTCTAGTTCATTTCTAATTAAGTTTCAGTTCAGTTCTAGTTCTCTTATTGTTCAGTTCTAGTGCAGTTTTAGTACAGTTCTAATTCATTTCAAGTTCTATTTCAGTTTTAGTTCAGTTCTAGTTTAGTTTTAGTTCAATTCTAATACAATTCTAGCTAGTTCTTGTTCAGTTCCGTTCTAGTTTATTTCCTTTCTAGTTCCGTTCAAGTTCTGCTCTAATCCAGTTTTATAGTCACATTCTATTTCAATTCTAGTTCAGTTCTGGTTCAGTTCTAGTTGTACTTCAGTTCTAATAAATTTCTTTTCTTCTTTCTCTTTTTAGCCAGTCTCATTGGTATCGATACCATACACCATCAAACACTCTCGGGTCAAGAAATGGATCAAATGAACGAACATCAATTAGACAAAGTCGCCAATAATGTGAGTGTATTCTATCGTGTATCACCCAGACATAAATTGGCAATTGTAAAGTCATTGCAAAGGACTGGAAATATAGTGGGCATGACTGGTGATGGTGTAAATGATGGAGTGGCCTTGAAGAAAGCCGATATTGGTATAGCCATGGGTAAAAATGGTACTGATGTGTGTAAAGAAGCGGCCGACATGATATTGGTCAATGATGATTTTCACACTATAATGTAAGTAGAGGTAGGGACTTAAAGTAAGGATTTTTTATAATGTGTTCTCTTTTTTGTGATTTTAGAGCTGCTATAGAGGAAGGCAAAGCTATATTCTATAATATACGCAACTTTGTAAGATTTCAATTGAGTACTTCTATTGCTGCCCTTTCCCTTATAGCCTTGGCCACCCTAATGGGCATAGCTAATCCTTTAAATGCCATGCAGATACTATGGATCAATATTATAATGGATGGACCACCAGCCCAAAGTTTAGGTGTGGAACCCGTAGATCATGATGTCTTAAAGCAGAAACCACGTAATGTTAAACAACCCATGATTACCAAATCGGTGATAGTTAATGTTTTACTAAGTGCCAGCATTATTATCTTGGGCACCTTGTGGGTATTCCAAAGAGAAATGGTGGATGGTTCTTTGGGTAAGACAAAGCGTGACACAACTATGACCTTTACCTGTTTTGTATTCTTCGATATGTTTAATGCTCTCTCCTGCCGCTCACAAACTAAAAGTGTTTTCACTATAGGCCTAACTTCTAATAAAATGTTCCTATTGGCTGTGGGCTTTTCCATAATTGGCCAAATGTTGGTCATCTATTTCCCCCCTTTACAAATGGTATTTCAAACTGAGGCCTTATCGGCCTATGATATATTATTTTTACTCTCGCTTACCTCGTCAGTGCTAATTGTGGCCGAGATTAAGAAATGGTTCGAAAGGACAATGGAACGTAAAATGTATAAAACACGTTCCGAGTTGGATTTCGTATGACAAAACGAAAGCGCTGGAAGATTGTTGAATAAAAAATCTAATTAAATTTCTTTAGACTAAAATAATACAAATAAAAACAAGTAATAAAACGTATTTAAATAAAATTTAAACATAATTAAACAATTTTGAGTTCTTGATAAGAAAATAGGAGGAGTTTTTTTTTTACGAAACAAGAGAAAATTTTGAAAAAAAAAAAAAAGAGCGAGCAAGCAAAGGAACATACGTGAAAGCAAATGAGTGAGTGAGCAAGCAAGCAGAGAGCATTTATTTAATAAAAATCTATTCAGTTCATTTGTTAAGTTATTGTTTTAATAATAATTTGTTGTTTTTATAAAAAGACCAAATAGTAAAAGAGATGAAAAACAAACGCAAAAACCCGAGAGAGCATAAATTATGTTTGTTTAAATGTAAATTTTTTTTTCTTATAAATTCTATTTGTTTAAATTTAAATTAATATACTTATAACTAATTTAAGGCAAACTTATTTTAAAACAAAATTTTCTAGGTTTGCAACATCTTTGTAATTTATTTATTAAGTTAATGTGAAAAAAAGAGAGCAATGTTTTTTTTTTAATAATTTGCCTTTTTCTATCTTTGTTTATTATACTTAAATTTATTTAATTTTTTTATTTATATTTCTCTTTTTTTTAGTTTTTAAGTTTAATTTTTAAGTAGACCATTTTTTGTTTAATTTAAATTAATTGCTTTAATTATAAAAAAAGTAATAAAAAAATCTAAATTTAAAGGCAGTTTTGTAATAGCAGTTACTTGACATTTTAAAATCTAGTTCTTGAGATTTATAAAATCTCGTTTTTTTTTAATCATTTTAAGGTTTATAATAATCAACGTTTTCTGGACTTACCTTTTAAAGGGCTTTTTTATAAAACCTGCAACGAAAAGAAAATACAAAAATTTAAAAAAATATTTCAAGGAAAAGTTTTTCTAGAAGTTGGTCCAAACTAGATCTAGTTTTTATAGAAAACAATGTTCCGCAGAAGTGCAAGTTTTTATAGATAACTTTGGCTGTAGACTAGAGCAAAGTGTAGATGAAGTTTTTATAGGAAATGTTGCTCTAGACTAGAGGAAAGAGGAAGTTTTTATAGGAAAACTTGCTCTAGACTAGAGGAAGTTTTTATAGGAAAACTTGCTCTAGACTAGAGGAAGTTTTTATAGGAAAACTTGCTCTAGACTAGAGGCAGTTTTTATAGGAAAACTTGCTCTAGACTAGAGGCAGTTTTTATAGGAAAACTTGCTCTAGACTAGAGGCAGTTTTTATAGGAAAACTTGCTCTAGACTAGAGGCAGTTTTTATAGAAAAACTTGCTCTAGACTAGAGGCAGTTTTTATAGAAAAACTTGCTCTAGACTAGAGGCAGTTTTTATAGGAAAAATTGCTCTAGACTAGAGGCATTTTTTATAGGAAAACTTGCTCTAGACTAGAGGAGGTTTTTATAGGAAAACTTGCTCTAGACTAGAGGAGGTTTTAAAAGAAAACTTGCTCTAGACTAGAGGAGGTTTTTATTGGAAAACTTGCTCTAGACTAGAGGAAGTTTTTATAGAAAAAGTTGCTCTAGTTTACAGCAATTTTTTTTTTTTTGCTCTAATCCAGAGCAAGTTTTTTATAGAAAAACTTGCTCTAGTCTAGAGCAAGTTTTTTATAGAAAAAGTTGCTCTAATCTAGAGCAAGTTTTTATAGAAAAAGTTGCTCTAATCTAGAGCAAGTTTTTATAGAAAAAGTTGCTCTAATCTAGAGCAAGTTTTTATATTAAAAGTAGCTCTAGTCTAGAGCAAGTTTTTATAGAAAAAGTTGCTCTAGTCTAGAGCAAGTTTTTATAGAAAAAGTTGCTCTAGTCTAGAGCAAGTTTTTATAGAAAAAGTTGCTCTAGTCTAGAGCAAGTTTTTATAGAAAAAGTTGCTCTAGTCTAGAGCAAGTTTTTATAGAAAAAGTTGCTCTAGTCTAGAGCAAGTTTTTATAGAAAAAGTTGCTCTAGTCTAGAGCAAGTTTTTTATAGAGCAAGTTTTTATAGAAAAAGTTGCTCTAGTTTAGAGCGAGTTTTTATAGAGAAAGTTGATCTAGTTTAGAGAGAGTTTTTATAGAAAAAGTTGCTCTAGTCTAGAGCAAGTTTTTATGGAAAAATTTGCTCTAGTCTAGAGCAAGATTTTATGGAAAAAGTTGCTCTAAACTAGAGCAAGATTTATAGAAAAAGTTGCTCTAGTCTAGAGCAAGTTTTTATAGAAAAAGTTGCTCTAGTTTAGAGCGAATTTTTATAGAAAAAGTTGCTCTAGTTTGAGCGAGTTTTTATAGAAAAGGCTGCTCTCTAGTCTAGAGCAAGTTTTTATAGAAAAAGCTGCTCTCTAGTCTAGAGCAAGTTTTTATAGAAAAAGCTGCTCTCTAGTCTAGTTTTTGTAGAAAAAGTTGCTCTAGTCTAGAAGTTTAAAACCACATTCCATCAGCAATTATTGAAAAAGGACACATATTTTTTTTACACATTTAAACAAAACTTCATTGATGTAAACACAACATAAAAACGACAATTTTTTTTAATTAATAATTTGTGATATAATTTTAAGTTGAAAAAAAAAAACCAACACAAATAAAAAACCATTATAAAAACTTGTATGATTTGTACTTTTAGTTTAAATAAAGTTTATTTAAAAAGCACTTGTTATAAAATTGTTTTATTTATTTTTACTTTTTGTTTTTTGGCAAATATTTGTTTTTATTAGTTTATTGAATTAAAACTTTATTTTATTGATTTATATTTAGGATTTGGCAAAAAAAAAGACTCAAAATACTTAATTAATGTTAAAATAAAAAGAAAAAATTTGTTTAATTATTTTAGAACAGAAATCAACAATACAAAAAAAAAAAATCTTCTAGCGCTAAAAAGAAGCCCAAAAAATTAATTTTGTGGAAATATAGACAATTTGTGAAAGAAACAAAAAAAAAAATTAAAAAATTAATAAAATTATTTCAAAAAGCAAAATTTAAAAACAATTTTTAATAGTTTTTAAAAGAAATAAATTAAGTTTTTGAACTTTAAACTAAAGTTAATATTAAAAAAAAAAAAACCTATTAAAGGAAAACAAAATATTTAAAAATAAATTTTAAAAGCACTTTAAAGAAAAGCACCTAAAAAAACAGCAAAAGAAAACCAATTTAAGCACTTAAAGCCAATCAACCGCAGGTTTTACAAAAAAAGTTTAATTAAATAAATAATTTAAAACAATAAAGCATTAAGAAAACACCAATTTACACTTCAAATGAAAAATAGGTTTTCAAGAAATTTCTTTGTAGTAGAAATTTTTTCATAAAAAAGCTTTAACAAAAAAGTGTTTAAACTTTCATAAAATATTTCACTTTTTCCCACTTTTTTAATAAAAAAAACAACTAACTAAAGACCACTTAAACACATTTTAAAAAAAACTACCAATTTGAAAAAAAATTACCATAAAATCCCTCCCTTTTTAGACTTAAAACAATTAAAACTATTTGACTTTATTAAAACAAAAATTAAATGTTTTAGATTTAATTGTCATATTTATTAATAAAAAAAGGTTAAAGAATTTTAATAATTCATTAAAAAAAACAATAACTAGTTTTAAAAACCTTAAATAGTAAAAAAAAGTAAATTTAAAAATCAGTAACAAACTAATATTCAAGATTTTAAAAGCTTTTCAAATTCATATTCAAAATTCATTCAAACATTCATTAAGCTTTAAACTCAAACATTCATTAAGCTTTAAACCACGAACATCCTTAATATTTAACACAATACATACATGAACACCCTTAATAATAATTCACAAGATCATTAACATCCAGGGAAAGTTAGGAAAGGAAATGAAAACAAGTGAAAGAAATAATAGAAAGCTTTGCTCTATACAAGAGCAAGTTTTTGAAGAAAGCTTTACTTTACACAAAAGCAAGTTTTTAAAGAAAACTTTGGCTCTAGAATAGAGCTCTACTCTAGAGCAATTTTCTATAGGAAAATTTGTTCTAGTCTAGAGCAATTTTCTATAGGAAAAGTTGCTTTTGTCTAGAGCAATTTTCTATAGGAAAATTTGCTTTTGTCTAAAGCAATTTTTTGTAGGAAAAGTTGCTGTAGTCCAGAGCAATTTTTTATGGGAAAAGTTGTTCTAGTCTAGAGCAATTTTCTATAGGAAAAGTTGTTCTAGTCTAGAGCAATTTTCTATAGGAAAAGTTGCCCCAGTATAGAGCAACCTTCTGTATGAAAAGTAGCTGTAGTCTAGATCAAGTTTTTATGGGAAAAATTGCTCTAGTCTATAACAATTTTCTGTATGAAAATTTGTTCTAGTCTCGAGCAATTCTCTATGGGAAAACTTGCTCTAATCTAGAGCAATTTTCTATAGGAAATGTTGCACTAGTCTAGAGAAATATTATATGGGAGAAATTGCACTAATTCAGAGCAATTTTCTATAGGAAAACTTGCTCTAGTCCAGAGCAATTTTCTATAGGAAAACTTGCTCTAGTCCAGAGCAATTTTCTATAGGAAAACTTGCTCTAGTCTAGAGCAATTTTCTATAGGAAAACTTGCTCTAGTCTAGAGCAATTTTCTATAGGAAAACTTGCTCTAGTCTAGAGCAATTTTCTATACGAAAAACTTGCTCTAGTCCAGAGCAATTTTCTGAGGAAAAGTTGCTCTAGTCTAGAGCAATTTTCTATAGGAAAAGTTGCTCTAATCTATAGCAATTTTTTAATAGGAAAAGTTGATCTAGTCTAGATCAATTTTCTATAGGAAAAGTTGATATAGTCTATAGCAATTTTCTATTGGAAAAGTTGCTTTAGTCTAGAGCGATTTTCTAGAGCAATTTTCTATAGGAAAAGTTGCTCTAGTCTAGAGCAATTTCCTCTAGGAATAGTTGCTCTAGTCTATAGCAATTTTCTATAGGAAAAGTTGCTTTAGTCTAGAGTGATTTTGCTATAGGAAAAGTTGCTCTCGTCTAGAGCTATTTTTCTATAGGAAAACTTGCTCTAGTCTACAGCAATTTTCTATAGGAAAAGTTGCTCTAATCTAGAGCAATTTTCTATAGGAAAATTTGCTCTAGTCTAGAGTAAGTTTCTATAGGAAAACTTGCTCTAGTCTAGATTAATTTTGTAAAGGAAAACTTGCTCTAATCTAGAGCAATTTTCTATAGGAAAACTTGCTCTAGTCTAGAG